CCGCCTCGGCCTCCCAGAGAGCTAGGATTACAGGCGTGAGCCACCTTGCCCGGCCCATGTGTTGGAAACTTAATCCCCAAATTCATATGATGATGGCATTTGGAGGTGGGGCCTTTGGGAGGTAATTAGGATTAGATGAGGTCATCAGGGTGGGGCCCCGTGATGGGGCCGGTGGCTTTATCAGAAGAGAAAGAGAGACCTGAGCTGACATATGCTCTTGTGCTCCCGCCATGTGATGCCCTCTGCCATGTCATGACGCAGTAAGAAGGCCTTCACCTGATGTAGCCCCTGACCTTGAACTTCCCAGCCTCCAGAACTGTAAGAAAGAAATTTCTTTTCTTTATAAATTACTCAGCCTGTGGTATTCTGCTCTAACAACAGAAAACGGACTAAGACAACGACTTTCAGGCCACAACCAGCATCGGGGCCATGTCCTCTCCCTACTCCCGTGGCAGACTCAGTAAAGGGTCTCTAGCATCTTCCCATTTTTCCCATGTAAAAATCTGCTGGCAGCAATGTTTTACAGCAAACATGGATTATTTCATAACTAGGAATAGCATTTATTTTCTAAATGTCCTACAAGTAACGTGCTGTGATTGCAGGGGAATGGTAGCCCATGAGGGCAAGAGGCATTCCGTATAGATCGAGTTCTGCCCACAGTCTGGGCCAGGCCCTGAGTTGTTATAATTGAGGTGAGAATGGGCTATGCAGAGAAAGTGTCGTGGGCTCCTACACAGAGTGACCTGGCCCGGTTGCAGCTGCAACATGAAGGCCAGTGGGAATGTAGGTGGGTCCAAAGGTGGATCCTTAGAAAGTGCCTGGAGTTGGGTCAGGGCCGAGCTGGGCAGGGATTTTGCAGCCCAGCATAATTTTCCATCTCCCGAGAGAGACCAATTGAGCGCAGCAAGTGCCACCAGGAAGCCAGTGAAACAGAGTCCCCGGCCCTCCAGCCTCCCATGCTGGTTTCAGCCCAGAATGACTCTGGACTTGCTGAACAAATCACCTCCCTATTGCTGGTCAGTTCTCAAGGGGACAGATGGGTTTAACTACCCAAATTGCAAACAGCCTGAGATAAAGAATTTTTTAAAACAAAGTGCATACAAGATCAATCATTTGCAGCTTAAGTAAACTTGCAGAAAACATATCGCAGTCTGGGTAAGCCCCTTCCCTGTAAAAAGACCGAAGCTAAGATTCGAGATCCAGGCAGCTAAAATCTGCAATGCGGTGGGTGTGGAACTCTGGAGCCCTCCCGAGTTCAGGACAAGGGCAGGATGGGGAGGGATGGCCGAGGACACACACAGGCCCAGGGATACGCCAGGGGCCGAGGTACCCGCAGCTGCAGGACGAACACGGCTCATCTTCCCCAAGAGCCCATTTTTCTCAGGATTAGGAAAAAAGAGAAAGTCTAGGTGCTCACCATTGGTCTAATAGCAACTGTGCTCTGCGGGGTAGAGGAGGGAAGGAGCCCATTGCAGTGCATGTTGAACGTGGCCACATCCTGATTAACAACAGATTAAAACAGGACTAAATACACATCCTAAGATTTAAAAAATTAATTAATTTGAAACATTTTAGTGTTAAAACAGAAATGTATGAAGACAGAAAGAATGGTGGCTGCTGGGGGATGGGAAGCTGTTTCATGGGACAGTTTCCGTTTGGAAAGATGAGAAAGTTCTGGAAACGGATGGTGGCGATGGTTTCGCAACAACAAAGACATACTGAATGCCCTCAAACTGTACATGTATAATGATTAAAAGGGTCAATTTTATGCTACAAATTTTTACCACAATTTAAAAAAAAGAAAAGAAACATGTGAAGGCATAAAAAATAATTTTCCTTCATTCTAAGATGTAAAGTTCCAGTTCATTCTGCTCAGGATCACGTTCTGGCACCACTTGGGAGGAGCCACAGTTTAAGGCGGTGGAAGCCCTAGGATCTCTTGTGCCACCATGAGAGAACGGGCCTCTAAGCCACATATTACCCAGAAGTTCCTGGAACTTATTTATAACTCTAGGCTATGCCTGTCCCACACCGTAACTCTTGCTCACAATGAGAACTGGAGACTGACTGCTAGGAGGAGAAGGGAACAAATGTAGGGGTGGGGCGGCAGGGACAGGCTTTCAACTCCTGCACGGAGAGGCCCAGAGGGGAAGGAGGGAGGTGGTTCCCTGCGCTGGGTGCTAGGTGCTCACGGTGCCACAGTGAGCCGCAGTGAGCGACACAAGCTCCCGGCCCGCACCAAGGTCACTGTCTACCGCAGGAGCCCGACAGGCCATTAAAAGGCGGCACAGCAGCTGGGTTCTGTGCAGGTTAAGGGAGCCCAGGGCAGGGAGGCGCCCCCAGCTCACCCTGGAGTGGGTCAGCCTGGCATCCCTACAGCAAATGACCCTTAAGCTGAGACCTGAAGGATGGGGTAAAGTGGCATCCAAGGGACAACCAGCACTCCAGTGCTTGCTTTCTAATTCCCAGGGTTTATTTACAGAGGTTTACCTTTGTTAATTCACGCAGTTTACAGGGAAGAAGAACAGCATGTGCTAAATTCGACACCGCTCATCTCATCCGAATGGGTGCGAATATGCGCTGCTTGACGCCGTGAGCAATGTGTACTCGCTGGCGCGGCCTGCTTTTTTTTTTTTTTAATTTGGCATGATTTTATATTTACATTTTTCCACATAACTGCATTTTCTATGTACTTGTCATCTTTAATAGCACTGTAATTTTCCATCATGTTGACATCCTGTAATTTGCCTCGTTATTTCTTGATTACTGAGCATTTGGGTAGTTTCAATTTTTTCTTTATAAATAGCACTGTGTTATCTTGGGATAAGTTCATTTTCTCCCCTTTATGTTCTTGGATCTATTCCCCAGAGTGAAGCCACCCGCGCGCAGTAGGAATGGAGTTGCTGCGCTTGTTTCGTACGTAGCACCAATTGTGCTCCAGAAAGACCGAGCTGCCCCAGCTCCAAGTCCCCACACTGGGACTTATAATTTTTAAACATGTTTTTCCAACTTAAAAAATCTTTAATGCATTTTTAAAAACATCAAGTCGTTTTTGCTTTTGTCGTTAAAAATAATGTGACATTGAGGACAAATACTTAAAAGAAAAAGTCATCTCTGACAGCTCACTAACAATCTTGCTTTGGTCTTTGCTGCTCCTTGTGTGACCCCTTCAATGTGAATACGTTTGTTATTACGGTCACGCCACGGTTTTGATTCAGCTTTTCACGTAACGAACTGTAACTCTTTCCCCACGTTACTCCGTGGGCTCCGCACTCGCCTTTTGTTAAAGGCCTTGATACTATTGCACTGAACCGAGGCCAGGTCATTATGCTCTTGTTGGCAACGCTATTGTCAGCCTGCACCCAGGCGCCTCTGCGGCTTAATCAACGCCCAGCATGAGCCTCGCCCAGTTGGGCCATCTGCTGTCACCTGGGTGTGTTTGTCCCCACTCCCCTCACGCCCCCTTCCTTGTCTCTCTGCTCACTCATTGTGCATCGTGCGTCTCTCAGTGGGGACTGGTGTTCACATCCCCTTGGCTGAGAGGAGGTCGCCCTTATTCCTGGTCCCCAGTCCTGAGCACAGCGCCTGGCAACCAGCAAGCACCCAGTACCTGATGTCCTGTGAGCGTTGGGTTGAGCTGATCCTCTCCTCTGGGTGGGCCGCTGGGACCCTGCAGAAACCTCAGGGGAAATGGACGCCCCAAGTGGGCCGCGCTGGTGTCCAGAGAAGAGTGACCAGCCTGCTTTTCTCCCCAGGACTTCCTGAGCAGATACCCGGTCACCAAGTACTGCTGGGTAGGGGCCCAGCGAGGCCCCCAGGGCTGGCACTGGATCGACGGGTCCCCCCTGCCGCCGCAGCTGTGAGTGACCATGGGCTTTCTCCTCCTCTGCCAATGCCCCATCTCCATCTGCTCTTCTGGATCCTCCGTTTGTCCCCAGATTCAGCCTCCTTGCTCCACCCCCAGCCTAGGGGGCCACTCGGGAAACCAACTCCACACCCGAGCTTGGGGGCTGGCATTAGTTCAGTCCCCGTTATTCCGTCCCGTGTCTGGGTTTCTGGTGCATTCATCCGAGCAGGACTGTCACCCTAGTGTTACAGATGCAGGGTCAGCAGCTCAGGGCAGGGTGGTCACCCAGTGCCACATGGCTGATCAGCCAGGGGCCATCCTCATGGATGTCTTATGGCTTCTGCTTGAGGCTCTTTCCAGACAGTCCCCTGCCTCCGGGCAGAGACTCCCACGGTGCCCAGGCCAATAGGGGAACAGGCACACAGGCTGCAAGGGCCTGCGCGGGGAAGGAGGCCCCGGCACCCTGATCTCCCATCTCTCCCCCTTCCCAGACTCCCAGAGGATGATGAGGACAACCCGGATCTCAGCTGTGCAGGCCTGGAGGAAGGCAAGCTCGTGGCCATGGACTGCAGCTCTCTGAGACCCTGGGTCTGTGCCAAGGGGACCAAGTGACTTGGGCTCCGCCCATCCTAGGCCTGTTGGGGAGCATGCAGCAACCCCCCCAGCACAAGCAGATTAGAGCTGGGCTGCCTCCTTCTGGACCCAGCTTCCAGGTCCCCTGCTCTGCTCAAGGGGTGCCCGCCTGAGCAACCCCAGGAAGCTGGCCCCCAACACAGGAAGATCGCATCTGAGGGGAAGGAGGTTTTCTGTGGCCTCGGGTCTGAGCACCAGCTTTAGTCTCCAGCTTCTGAGGCTGATCGGTTCGGTGGCTTTGGGATGTTTTTCAGCTTTTCTGAGGCTTGATTTCTCCCTCATTAAAATGGCCATTTCCCACCCTCCCCCTTCCACACCCCATCTCACCCCCACCCTTCCACTCCCGCAGGGAAGGGCCGGGCTGACCATCCGCCGCTCCCCGAAACTAGTCCTCGCCGCTGGCGGCAGTGGGGTCTGGCAGGGATGACATCGCCGCTGTAAGTTCCATTTGCGGCAGCTGTGCGCACAGCTGGCACAGCTTCCAATAGGCTGCGGAGAGCAGCAAGCAAAAGACGCCGTCGGCCCCCGACGGGGAAGCAGGAGGTTTCCTTCCCTGCCCTGAGAGTCGGCAGAGGGTCGGCAGACACCGAGGTTCGGGGCACAGATCCAGTATGTGGGGCTGGCGGGGCCCTGGCAAGCCGATCCCGGACGAGAGAGAGGACAGGCCCGCCCGGTGGGGAGAAGCCAAGTGGCCCAGCTTGGCAGGTGGAAGTTGCTGCCAAGCGTGGGGCCCGCGGGAGGAAGGCGATGGGAGAGACGTGGGCAGGCTCGAGTCAGCTCTTCACTCAGCTGCGGGGATGAGCGGCCTGGAGACGTCTCTGTGCCGGGGCTCAGTGAAAGCCTTCGGGCAAGAGGGCAGCGGGAGGGCTTCAAAGCCAGACCTCACATTCCAAATCCCTCTGCAGTGGAGAAACCTTTGTTGGTGCATTTGAACCCAGAGCTCATCTGGGAGAAAGGGATGGACGGTCCTAGGTGAGAGAAGTTTCCCACACTCCTGGGATGTAACAACAAAAAAGAGAAGGACATTTCCTGGCCAGATGCGAATGGGTGGCGGAGGTAGGGCGGGTGCCAGTCACAATACTTTGTGCGCGGGCAGGAAGCCGCGCCTGTTACCACCCCACCCCCTGCATGTGTTCCTAGTGTCTGTGCCTAGAAAGATGACATGTGTGTGTAGGTAATGAGTTTACAGAAGTATATTAAGTTATTTAGCCGCCTTAGTACCATCCAGAGAAGGAAAGTGGTTTGCTCCAAGTCACCCAGCTAGAAGGGGGAGGTCTAGAATGAAAGCCAGTTCTGTCTCACACGTGTGGCCTTCTGACCGAATCCAAATTTTACAAAACAAATCCTTTTAATAAAGGGATTTGTTCTGTGAAGTTTGGATTCAGCCGAGGGGCCACACTTGGGGACTTGGAGGGCCACATGTGGCCTTGAGGCTGCAGGTTCTCCCCCCTTGGAGAAGGATGTCGGTGGCTGCTGAGTGGGAAGCCGTCAGGTGGAGTGAGGGGGAAAGGAGGTACCAAGTTATTTTACATGTACTTCGATCACTGCTTCAATTATCTATTGCACTATATCAAATTGTTCCAGACTTAGCAACAACTACTTCTCCGAAAAGAACTATTTTTTCCCCTCATGACTCTGTGGATTGGCCAGGCAGTTCTTTTGCCTTAGGTGGTATTGGCTGGAGCCCTGGGATGGCTGGAAGGTCCAAAATGGCCTCACTTGCTTGGCCAGCAAGGAGGGGCTGACTCCCAGCTGGGGCTTTGGTTCCCACACATGCACCGCTCCTCGTGGCTGCTTGGGCTTCCTCATAGCATGGCAGCTGGGCTCCAGGAAGGAGCATTCCCAAAGAGGGGACAGCAGATGCTGGATCTCTTAAGGGCTAGCCTCAGAAGTCACCCAGTGTCACATACGCCACATTTCATTGCTCTACAACAGGTTATGGGGCCAGCCAGTTTCAAGGGGAAGAGAAATACATCACTGTGCTGTATCCGGCTCTAGCTCTTACTACTTGTCCTCTCAGGCTGGAGTGCAGTGGCATGATCATAGCTCCCTGCATCCTCAAACTCCTGGGCTCAAGCGATCCTCCTGTCTCAGCCTCCCAAGTAGCTGGGACTACAGGCAAGTGTCACCACGTCTGGCCAATTTTTTTTTATAGTTTTTGTAGAGATGGGGTCCCACTATGTTGACCAGGCTCAAGGCAGCACTGGCTGAAATATCTCATGAGCTAAAAACAACATCCAACACAGTTGTTAACTTTTAAACTGACTAATTATGTCTGAAATGTTTTGCAATAAAAGTCATTTTTTAAACCTTGTGGGGCTTTGAATTCAGCAAGGTAATTGTTAATGTACAGCTGTGCTCAAAGAAAAGAGAAATCCCTGAAAAAAAGAAGAGAGTTGAGAGCCAGACCAGGTAGGGCATGAGTTGGTTTTCTGACTCACCCATGAGGTGAAGTGTTAGTCTTGTGAATTATGGGCTATTTTCGAGCTTACGTGGAACAAGAGCTGTGGCCTTAGACCAACACAAAGTGGGGAGGTTGATCTATTTAAATCCAGGAGTTGCAGGGTTTGCCCTCAGTGGAAGGCTGGAATAGAATAACAGTGGGATGTCAAGGAAGCACATCTGTCTCTCCCTGGATGAAGAGTTTCCACTAATAATGTGAAACCCTAAGGCTGGGTCTCCATTAGCATAGGATTTGAATTTAGACTATCTGCATGGCCCAGAAGCTTCTAACCTGAGAAATTGCCATCAGTAAGTATTGCTCTAGGCTTGGTGACACACATGGACTCTTTAGCAGAAACCAAGGCAAAATTGCTCTGGAGGGGTGTCCCCATAACCCACTGTTAGAAATCCTAATGGATTATGAAGTGGAGGGAACATTCTAAAGATGCACTGACTATACAATTAAAGACACAGAAAAGCTTTGAAACAAGAAAACAACACTATGAAAAAAGACTAGACAGAGTTTTAAAAGAACCAAGTAGAATTTCTAGAAATGAAAAATGCAACTGTTGGTATTAAAAGCTGAGAGGACAAGTTAAATAGAAGATAAACACTTGAGAATTAAGTGAACCAGAAGATAAATCCAAGGAAAGTACCCAGAATGCATTACAGAGAGATGAAGAGACAGAAGAAAAAAATGGGAAGGTAGGAGACATAGACAATAGAACACATGCAAAAGATCCAACATAACATCCATAACGGAGATTTTTAACCTTTTTTTGTGCCATAGATCCCTTTTCAGAATCATGTATTTAAAGGTATGAAATAAACAGAAAATTATGGAAAAAATCCAATTATGTTGAAATACCATTACCAATATGCTTTGAAGTCAGCCCAGTTGAAGTACACATTACATGCAACGAAATGCATGCATTTTAAGGATGCAGTTTAATGAATTTTGATAACTGCACTGCCCCTGCCACCACACTAATGAAGGTTCCTGTTAATTCCCCAGTCCCTACCCCTGCCCAGGAAACTGATTTGCTTTGTCACAATATATTAGGGATATATTCATGCACTTTTCATCTAATAAGATGCCACACAGCAGCTAAAATAAAATACCATAATTTCTGTATATAAATTTTGGACCTAACTGGCTGACTGAATTCCCTTATTGTTTGTATTCATTTTCTGGTAGTCTTGATTTTCCAGATAGTCATTTCATCTGCAAATAAGGGTAATTTTACTTCTTGCTTTCCAAGTGGTGTACAAATGTCTTCCTATTTTTTTTCTTTCCTCTTTTCTTTTTGTTTGAGACAGGGTTATGCTCTGTCACCCAGGCTGGAGTGCAGTGGTGTGATCATAGTTCACTGCAGCCTCAAATTCCTGGGCTCAAGTGATCCTCCCACCTCAGCCTCCCAAGTAGCTGGGACTATAGGCATGCGCCACCATGCCTAGCTAATTTTTTTATTTTTTGTAGAGATGGGATCTCGCTATGTTGACCAGGCTGATCTTGAACTCCTGGCCTCAAGAGATCCTCCCACCTTGGCCTCCCAAAGTTCTGGGATTACAGGTGTGAGCCACTGTGCCCAGCTCTTCCTATTTTCTAACTGCATTGGCTAGTATCCTTAGGACAACATTAAGTGATAGTGATCACAGTCCATGTCCTTAGGTTTCCTGACTTTAATGGGAATAATTCTGTTTTCCCATAAAGCATGAAGTTCACTTTGGGGTTGAGGGGTGTGCGTGTGTGTACATCTATTCCTATCATGTTAAGATCAGTTTTATGAAATATCTTTTCAGCATCTCTGGAAGTGATCATGTAATTTTTCTTTTTTGATCTTTTTAACAGTGAATTAAAAGTTTTCCTAAAATTGAATGCATTTTGGAAATTTACTCCCTCAGTTATGGTGTTTAATTCTTCAAATATGTTGCTGGAATCTATTTGCCAAAATTTCATGTCAAAGTTTTATAGCATACAGCCATGTGCTGCATAATGACATAACAACATTTCCTTTTTTTTCAGAGACAGGGTCTCGCTCTGTCACCCAGGCTGGAATGCAGTGGCATGATCAGAGCTCACTGCAGCCTCTAATTCCTTGGCTCAAGCGATCCTCCCACCTCAGCCTCCCAAGTAGCTGGGACTACTGCACAACCACGTTTCAATCAGTGATGGACGGCACGTATGACAGTGGTCCCATAAGATTACGAAGGAGCTAAAAAATTTCTATCCCCTAGTGCATTACTCACGTGTGTGTGGTGATACTGGTGTAAACCAACCTGCGCTGCTAGTCGTATGAAAGTATAACACATATAGGAGGATCACTTCACTAGAGCCCAGGAGTTTGAGGCTACAGTGAGCTATGATGGTGTCACTGTCACCCAGCCTTGATGACAGACCAAGACTTTGTCTCAAAAACAAAAGTATAGCACGAACAGTTATGTACAGTACATAATACTTGATAACTATTACTGGTTTATGTATAGACTATGCTATACTTTTTATCATTATTTTAGAGTATAGTCCTATTTATACA